CTACCTGTCTGCATCCCAGTTTCACAGTGTAAGAAAAAAGAGGCAGTTGTGCAAAATTGCAGACTGTGAAGTTAAAACAGAGGAAAATATTTTTGTTGTTGTTATTACTCAAATTCTGTGTAGCTTAATGTCACAAAAGATCACTGAAACTAAGGGCTTAGCAGGATTAGAATAGGACAGTCAGTGTGCTTAGACAGCTAAGTAAGGATACAGTTACAATAATGAAGTTTAAAAATAAAGAAAAATATCCTCTAGAGCTTTGAAGCAGTTACAAAACTGTCCTATTTCAAAGCAAGGCAGTGTTTAACAAATGAGGGCTCTGCTGCCAGAACTGTGTGTTCTGGATTGCTGGTTTGCTGTGGGAAGTGATGGTAGGGCAGGTGGGCAGCAAGGCAACTGGTGGCTTGTCCCATTCTGGCATGTCCCAGAGGAGCCTTCTCTCCTGTCAGGCCAAAGACTTGTGATTTGGAGCTGCTGGTATGGGCCAGAAGGCACTGGCTGTCAGTGGAAATCTCGTCATGCAGGGAAGCTTCCTCAAAGGATCTTCATGAGTTACTCTCCAAGAAGGAGTAAATCAAGGAACGTGCATGTTGCAAGGATTTCAGGCAGAACTGTCTTTTCAGGAATCTGTATGTACTCTGGCAGCTGTAACCTTTCACTGGGAAAACAAATCAGGAATGAAAATGTTTCTTTTTCTATTGCATCTCCTCTGTAAGAGTTGGCCTTAATTAGAAACTGAAATACAGCTGTAGGGAATCTTGATATTTATTTGAGAGCACAACTCATGAAAGACATGGCACCATGCTGGATTTCTTGCTCTGAAAGTTTGCAATTGTTTTGGATAGTCAATAATTTAAATGAAGAAGTGTGGTCTTTGTTAGACTATTGAATAAAAAATATGCTCTGATGCTATTTAACTATTCATTTAACTGATGATCAGTTTTGGTGCATGAAGTGAAGGGAAAGGCCCAACTTTATGCAGTTGAACAAGGAGAAAAAAAATTAAAGGGAAAGTCACTATCAGTAAAAGATATTTCTGTCTGCTTTTCAATTCCAAATTGGGCTGATTCTACCTTCTGTAAAGAAGATAATTTCCATGTTTCTGTAATTGGGAACAAATAATTGAATTTAATTTCTCTCAGAGAGAAGAAGCTTCTTCTACAGTATTTGCAAATGGACAAGAAAAATGACCACATACAGTGCTTTCTGGAGTGACGGTGCATTCATCAAAGCACCATCTTCAGTTGTCTTTGCGTATTTTGCACTGTGGCTTTTACCCCTTTGGGTAGATATTTTCATGTGGATGGGGAATGTTCTCATTGGTGAATGTTCTGGGCAGCCCTTACGTCAGAGACAGCTGATTACCAGTGAGGCCTGAGTAGAAAACATGTGCCAGGGAAGCAATGAAACGAGTATCAACTTTGTGTACCAAAATAATTATACAGTGATTCCATGGGACTGCTGCTTTTGACCTGGCTTTTTAGGAACTGAACTTTAATGAGGAAGATGAGCCAGATGTTGTTACAGTGCTTTGATAGTGGCACAAGTGATTAGCTCACTTCCTTTGTAGCATGAAGATATTTTCTGCCACAGAGTTTAACCCTGGGAGTGCTGGCATTTTCCTTAACATCCTGTTAACTATGCATGCAGGACAGTGTGTTTTCAGGAATGCTTTTGCATCTGCACGTGCAATTGTGCAGTCCTCTTCCTGAGGTTGCTTCTGTAATCTTCTCTTCCCTGAGGTTGCTTGATATTTGATGGCAGTAGCAGAAGATAGACTCAGGTGTTTGTGCTTCCAAAGCATAGTCCCTCCTGACAGTGTTTGCTGACCAAGGCTCCTTTCCATTTTTCTGGGTCAGTTTATCATCCCTGATGTTTCTGTGATTAGCCAGACAGAGTGGTGCTCAGGGAATTTGGGAGGCCATGTGGCAATTCAGTGTAGACCCCATCTTTGAGATGTGTTTAGCTAAGGAAGTGGATATTTGTGTGCATTGAGGCATCATGGAGAAAAGAGAACCCATGAAGGTAACTGTGGTAGATAAGACAGCACATTGTATTTCTAGACAGCCGTGGTCATTGTACAAATCAGAGAAAATAGAGGAAGTTTAATATAAACAACAACACCACAACTCTGTTTTGTAAGGAAAACCAGTGTTATATTTTTACCCTGACTTAACAAAGAGGAGGAAGGAAACTGTTTTGCTGAAACAAGCATTTTAGATTGGACTAAAGATACACTTTTCTCTCTATGTTTGTGTGTGTGCACGTCCCAGCAAACTCAACTGCACGTTTGTACGCATGAAATGCATTTTCCTGGAGGCACGTAGTCAGCATGTGCCATGCAAGGAGGAAAAAGATGTGCCTAGCACTGCTTAAATGCTGGTCAAAAAGGCATAGCATTTTAGTCAAAATAAGTTAAAGCGTCTCATAACATTGTGGTTGGTATTTGGTATTTTAGCTGACATTGAGTACTGGATAAGAAATCTGCTTGGTTTGGAAATGTGCAATGTAGATAAAATATGAGAGTGGCCTATTTATTGTGTGTGAGAGGCAATGTGGCCTCCGAAACCAGAGAGAGCAAATGGGGGGAATACAGGGATGGGGGCCATCGGCAGCTTTGGGCTGTACTGTCTTCTCCATGCAAGAAGAAGGAAAGGAGTCTCTGCTGATGGGATGGCAGTGGTCATTCTTTTCTTCATGGAAAGTGAAGTAGGTGCAATACCTAAAATAATACTTTGAGATGCTCAGTTGCCAGATTGATTTCTCAGGCTAATAAATCCTTGGCTTCACTTGCTGTGTTAAAATATATGTTCAGGTGAGATTCATGATCAGCTCTTAGGAACAAGAGAGCAAAGGGAAAAAATTCCAAGATTAAATGCTTTACATTTGACACCTTTAATTGGCTTATTAATAAACCCTTTTTTTTTCTTAAGGTTATGCTATTTATTATTTCTAATGAAACAGTTGTAAACTAGACTTCTAAAAACAGCCACAAAGTACTGGCAAAGGGAGTCTGAGTGTTCTGGGTCGAATATCCAGCTCTGAAACTTCTGGTCATATGAATGGCCTTATCCCCACCAAAATGATGTGTCCCACAGAGATGGCACTTACATGAGTTAGAAAACAAATGCAGTTCCTGTGTACTATACTGCCCGCCTCCCTACATGAAAAAATAAGCTTTGGTAACACAAACATATCGGCATGGTTGCATTTGTACAATGAAGTTTACTGCTCAGTGTGTGGACGTTTAAGATTTTCAGATGTTCAACAGCTTCCTCAGAACAACTGCTAGGCAACTGGAATTCCTAGAGAAATGCACAAAATCCTTAATTATTGTTCAGGGCAAAAAAAAAATCATAAGCAAAAAAAGGAAACATCTATGGGAAAACCTGAATGTGTGGTAGGTCCAATCTGTATTCTCAGTTAGGGAGTGCCTGTATGGCAAACAGACCTTGCACAACCCTTCATGAAAATTCATCCAGCCTGGGGCTTATTCCAGGTACACTTTTTTCCCCCCCAGGAACTGTGTCACCCCTCTCCCTTGTGCACTTCTGCTGTTCCACCACAGAGCAGTTGTTGGGCAGGCAGCAGGTACAACTTCTGCATCGTGTGTGCACAGCAAATCCAGCCCTTCCAGGGAGCACAGGCATGTGCTCATGGGTGCAGTGCCTGTGAGGAAGATTCAGGCCATCAAGTGAGGAGGGTAATGGTGTACAGCTTAGCATGGACCTGGAAAACAAGTATGGTTAGGAACATGCAAGTGTTTGGTTTCTGGGAGTGGACAATTGAAGTATTATTGCTAAGCGCCATTCTGAGACCTTCTCTACATTGACTGATGTCTCATATGAAATCTCCTTGCCTGAAAGAGAAAAGCATGAAAGCATTTAGTGAGTTCTCTTGCAGTGCAATGCTTTAAATGTGCTGTTCTTTGTCGAACATCACTGGCTCAATAAAGATTCACCGTGTCAGGTGTAGTCCCTGTAAGCCAGATAGAAGTGGCCAGTGTATTGTTTCTCTGGTGATTTTACATTTTCTTGCCATGTAAGTAGGCATGGAGCATAGAAAAATGCTTCCTTGTTTCATATCAAAAGTCCAATCCGTGATGAAGGCAGCAATTAATCAATGAAATCACTTTCTTTACTGAAATGCTGTGTTTCATAAATAAGTTAGTCTTCATATGCAAGTCTTTCAAGAAAGCAGTGCACACAGGAAAGCTGGTGTCAGCATTTTTTAATCCTGAAATGACCGAGTTTCTTATTATGGACACTAAACTTAGCTTCTTCTAAGAACCTTCTAGGCATAAGGCTAATTTTGCGCTTCTCAAAATATGCCCATGCTTCTTGTGTTTTTCAGGGAGAAGATGCTCTGAAACAGACTGCAAATACTGTATCCAGCTGTTAGCATATGAAGGCCAAGAGAATGCAGTTTCTGCATCCATACTAAACCATTTGTATCCCTAATACTAAAAATCTGTGGACCAGCTCCTGGTCTCACTAATGTTAACAGCAGGATTTGTGTCAAAACAAACAAGAAGAGAACATAACTAGCAGCTTTGAATTATGTGTTTCTGTCCCTGTACTCCACCACTGTAGGAATGATTGTTCTAGCATCTTTTATGTTGAGTTGTTAAGTGATGGAAGCTTTTACTAAGTCCAAACTTAAATACTTCCAAAGCCTTTTTTAGTGTTGGAAAGCATTTGTATCAAGTTATCCTTGAAATAATTTTCTCCTTTATTTATTATTATATGCTACCCAGTAGACACCTAATTATGAGGCAGAGAATACTTCTCATTCTCGTAGGATATATAGCACTTCACTGGATGTTTTTCAGAGTCCATTTTCATTACATTAAGTGAGATGTTTACTTACTTGAGTCCCTTAGGTTTTAAAAAAAGCAAAAACAAGACAAAGGATGAAGTTCAACATTGAACAGCCAATAGACCCTCTTACTTTGTGTGAATGCCTTTTATATCACATCACGGACTGTCCTTTTTTTCCAGAGTGGATATCCAAGCTCTGGACCTGCTTCAAGCACTCCTGCCTTCAGGCCTGAGGATGAGCTGGAACATCTGACCAAGAAAATGCTGTATGACATGGAGAATCCTCCCTCTGATGAATACTTTGGTGAGCCTTGTCACAAGTGTCTGTAGCCCTCTTCCATATTTACCAGGTGCAGTAATGGGGAGGCCTGACAGCTGCACTGGTAACGTAGTGACACTCGTATTGATGGATGTGCTTTCCACGCTTGGGCTGGAAGTGTAATCAGCCATAGGAATTCCTCTGTAATTTCAGCATAAATCTCATGCTCACTCATTGTATGTTTGTAATCTTTCTGGTTTTAAAGTTGAATTTTTCAGTGTCTGGTTCATTTTCACACCATCTGTCCCCAGCTTCTTGGCTACCTGTCTGAACTCAGGTGTGGTGTGTTGTCTTGCCTGCCTGCCCCATTGCTCCCTTCTCATTCCAGCTGCAAAAAACATGGAAGTGTCAATGTGTTCTGCTTCTAAGGCATGGATTTTCATTTTCTGTGTGCTGGCACAGATAAAAAGGAAATCCATTTTGAGTCGGTTATACATGGGGACCCATTCACTCAGAACTGTATCGTCTTCCTTGCCTGGAAAAAGATAATTGTCTAATTTCCTTCTTAAGTGGTGTAGAACTGAATTATCTTAGGCATCTGTAGGCGTAGAATGTATACCTTGCCTTTATATGAAAGATAGGTGATGTGGGGTCTGAACTCTGCATTAAAGTCAAGTCTTGGGCACATTTGAGGCATCTGCTTGGATGTTTAGTTTCTTACAGGCTTGGGTAATAGTGTTGTTAGGAAACAAACTGCTACAGTTTTTAAAGTTAAATACTGGGGCAGGCCATTCATTCAGGGTTCTTCATCTTTTTTTATTTCATAATTTCTTTAAAATTTCATTTAGATCGCTCCCTAGCTCTGTTTGCTGTAGAGTTTGGGTGGATCAAAACATTTCTGGCTTAAAGAAACTTTTGTGGTCTAGTTTAATCAAAAAACAAATGGGATCAAGGTTTAACTAATAAATGAGGATCTTGCAGAGACAAGAATCTGATAATATGGGCAGGTTAAGATGTTCTAATCAAACAAACATTGCCCTTGTAGATGGGGTTGATATCAGTCCCCATTGTCATCAGTACCTTCTATTTTCTGTGGTCTCCACCCTCACAACCAAAATATCTTCTCTGTCAACACTGGTAGTCATCAGAGTTGATGACTATCACTGATCTGAGGTGTGAGCAGGAATGACTAATTGAATAGAGAATAGCCAAAGAGCATTTTCTGTGTTGATGGGTTTGACTTCATCTCTGCCCATTGCTATTTGGGTTCACTCTCTGATGTTTTAAACATGAAGCAACAACCAAATAAACATAACATTTAGCCATTAACTGGGCAGGAGAAACTTCTTTCCTGCTCCCTTCAGGCAAATGGCTGAAGCCCTGAAGCATGAGATTTGATTATAGTAATTTTCTTAATGCAGAACTGTGTGGCAGGAGTTGTTTGATGGACCAGAGCCCATCCAGTTTTCCTTTTAGCCCAAGAAAGTAGGCAGATGAACAAAGAATTTGGAGATGCACAGGCTTCAAGGTCAGAAAGGACCTTGCCATTATACCGCCTAATGTCTTACTCTCAGTTTGTCCCAGAAATATGATTGAATCATGACTTTAAAAAAATAAAAATCTAATCTTATCTTAAAGACTTCGAGCAATGGTGAGTCAACCACCTACCCTGATAAGCTGTTCTAGTGATTAATTTTCCTCACAGCTTGGAAATTGCTTCATGAAGTGAAGCTTTAGTTTTGTTTAGCACTTGCATTTATGAATCTGAAAAGCTCAGATTTTGCAGACTAATACTGTATGCCTAAGATGGTGGTACATCAAAGTTTCTTCATCCAAAAGGGATGCATAGCTCAAACGGTTGGAACATAAAGTCCCTCAATATGAGGTCATCAATTTGGCTATCATATGTAAGGTCAGAACGATGCCATGCCAATAGCTCTTAACTCAGCAGAAGACAAGAAAATGGAAAGGAGGCTTCAGACCATTCACGTGTTTTGCCAGTGTTTAAGTGATGGCATTCAAGAATCATTCAAGATACAAGGTGGAAGATGAAAATCAAACAGCCTTAGTCCTACCTTGGGCAGTTGATGTGTAATCACCAACTGCACCTGATTGCTTTCCTAATTGCACTGAGTGTATGCTGCTGAAGCTCATCTCTGAAGCAGTGTCCAGCCCTGGCATTCCTGATGTGCAGAAGAACCATGTGTTGGGCTGATCACCTCCTCAGCTTTCTAAGCATGCTATACGCCACACAGCCATTTGGGAGCATTATCTATCTAACAAGATACATAATGCTGGACCACAACTACTTTTGATGGTTGGATACCATCAAAGTGGTAGGCTGCCCTCATCCTCCTAGGTTTGTTCCAGTCCAAGCTCCTCCCTGGGGGAAGATGGTCTCTGGAGTCATAGTAGATGAAGCCCTTTGATACGGCAGTGCAGGACGGGAGTTTTGTACTAATTCTGGCTATGTCAGAACTAAATACCCATCTCTACTTGAACTGTCAGCCAGTGCCTTTCAGTAACTTCGTGCTCATGTGGAAGGAACAAATTAAGTGTGGGAGGAAAAAAAAGAGTCTTTCAGCTTTGGTTAACTGTCTCAAACAATATCTCTGCCCTTGTGCTTTATTTATTTAGCGTGGTAGTGTGGACTGTACAGGATTCATATGGCACATTGATCAAATAATCAGAAAAAGGACAAATGGGCAGAGACACTGACTCTGATTTGCATTAAATATCTTATGCCTGAGGTCTAAATGCCATGGTAATTGTAGCATACCAGATAGCTGTCAGCTAATCACTTTTATTAGTTTGAATTTAGAAAACTGGATTTCAGCATATTAAAAGTTGGTTAAGTGCAGATAGGTTTTGAATTGAGGAATCTAATTAACCTTGCTAGAAAGCTGCAAGGCGTTATATTAAGTCATAAAAATAATTTGTTGGAATAATTACATTTGAACTGTCAGGCTGGAGAAAGGTCATTTTACTTGGCCCGTCAGCACTCTGGAATCTTTTTCGTAACCATTTTCCTTCTGTGATTTCACTTGCTGTATCTCTGGTTTTCAATCTAACCATCTTGATTCTGGAGTCAGCAGAATCTGCCCAGCAGTGGGCAGAGTGGAGGTTCCTTGGGAGGGAAGAGGACTAGGAGTCACTGAAGTTGTCTCTTTGCCCTGGAAATGCTGGCTGGTACTGCTGGCAGACCAAGTGAGCTGAGCTCAGGACAGCAGGTCAGCCAGCACTTCCATCCAGTCTGTGCTCACTGCACCTCTCTGCAGCTTCCCTGGGTGGAAATTACTGAAGGTGGTTTCAGGGTTGGGGGAACTGTTCTGGGCAAGTATTGCTCACGCTAGCACACACAGCTGGCAGCGTGGCACGGATCACAGTGCCTTCCCAGGGAGCTGGGGTGCGTGGTGGGAGCCAGAAGCAGCATGCGGGAGACACGCTTCAGAGCAGCAAGATCACAGTTGACAGCTGTGTGTTGCCTGGGCTTGTCACAGCAGCACAATCCAGCCACTGGGAAATACTCTAGCTGCCATTGGCAAGGCAGTGCTTGAGCATGGAGATATCATCAGTAAGCATAATAATAAAAAAAAAAAATCACTGTACATTTTTAGGAGTTAAACATGCATGTTGTATAGTCTACCTAACCTGATTTTGTTAAGGCCAGACTACTGTAAGTCGTCTAAGCACCCCAAATGTATGTCCCCTCCTACCCTCCTATAGGTTCTGGAGTGACTTATAGAGTGACTTCTCCTGGGAAATCCTTGGCAGATCAGCAGGTTGAAGTCTTTTAAGTCTAAGCTGCTCTTCCTTCTTTACTGCTGATCTGTGGTAGTTGGCTGTCTTAAATCAAATCCCTTTTTATTAGAAAGGATTCCCAAATGTGTTACGCACTCTGCAGTACAGATAGTTTCTCTCTATCACAGCCCTCCCTGTTGATAAATGTGCTATTGTAGACAGGCATGTCTGATATGTTTGAAAAAAATAATAGTGTGTAGAGTGGAAATTGGTTAAGGTTGAGAGAGGAGAAATGGATACTTATAGGAGATTAGAATGAAACTATCAGAATTGTTTGTTGGCCACCATGGGAAATTACAGCCCTTGATTTTGCATTTAAAAAATCCCCGACAAAATACACACACACAAAGATCACAACTGTTCTGGACCACTGTTTCAAGTCTCATAGAAAGAAATGACTTCTGGCAGCTTATCAGTCTCTATCACCATGTAGACAGTGCTGATTAAGACTGGAAAAGTGCCATCAGGGCCCCTCATCTCCTGTTGTCTTCTGGACTATGTCCCAGCTGAGTCACTCCTCACAGCAGTTTCCCTGACTGGTGGGAAGGAACTCTCACTGGTTTTTCACCATAGCTCAGAGCTACCAAAGGAACTAAAAGTTTTATGCATTGGATAATATAGTAGTTCTCCTTTTGTAGTTCCAGTGTGCTGTAGGGATGCACATGGGGAGAAGAGAGATGCTAGAATGGTCCCGTTGGAAATACTTAGTTTGTGCAGTAAAGGGACCTTGATTTATCTCAGAGATAATTCAGGATTATGTGGTTTTCTTATGTGTATTTTCTGTATCCCCAGACTTTGACAAGGGGAGAGATGGTGCAGTTTTGGACTGAGGAGCAAGGCCAACAAGCAGCATGCTTGACTTCCTTTTCTGTTCCTCATCCTGGCCTCTTGTGAGACTTTTCTAAACTTAATTTTTTCCCTTTTCACACAGTTTTCAGGAGGTGATTAACAGCAGCAATTGTATGAGTGCCTCCCGTGGAGAAGCCTTTGTCTACAATGGTTCTCTGAGATGCCATGTTACAGTTAAAATGAAAGAACGATACGTGGCACCATATTGAATCTCTCAGGGCTCTGTCAGCCTTTTCTGTCACTGGCTTTGTGTCTCCATTAGGCTTCCATTCATAAGCTAAAAATCCTTCACTAGGGCCAGAGACCTGGTGACCAAACAGTGTTGAATGTGTTCCCTTTTACTTCTTGAGGGGCAGGACACAGTTTAGCAGGTAGCAGTCCAAGTATGGTGTGGC